ACACCTCCTCCAGCTCGTCCGGGGGGACCCCAAGGCGTTCCCAGGCCAGCTGAGAGACATAGTCTCTCCAGCGTGTCCTGGGTCTTCCCCGGGGCCTCCTCCCGGTGGGACGTGCCCGGAACACCTCCCCAGGAAGGCATCCAGGAGGCATCCTGAACAGATGCCCGAGCCACCTCAACTGGTTCCTCTCGACGTGGAGAAGCAGCGGCTCTACTCCGAGCTCCTCCCGTGTGACCGAGCTCCTCACCCTATCTCTAAGGGAGCGCCCAGCCACTCTGCGGAGGAAGCTCATTTCGACCGCTTGTATCCGCGATCTCGTTCTTTCGGTCATTACCCACAGCTCATGACCATAGGTGAGGGAGGGAACGAAGATTGACCGGTAAATTGAGAGCTTTGCCTTTCGGCTCAGCTCCCTCTTCACCACGACGGTCCGATACAGAGACCGCATCACTGCGCACGCTGCACCGATCCGCCTGTCAATCTCACGCTCCATCCTCCCCTCACTCGTGAACAAGACCCCGAGATACTTGAACTCCTCCACTTGAGGAAGGACCTCTCCACCCACCTGAAGAGGGCAAGGCACCTTTTTCCGGTCGAGCACCATGGCCTCGGATTTGGAGGTGCTGATTCTCATCCCAGCCGCTTCACACTCGGCTGCAAACCGTCCCAGTGCATGTTGCAGGTCCTGGTTTGTTGGAGCCAGCAGGACGACATCATCCGCAAAAAGTAGAGATGAAATCCTGTGGTTCCCGAACCGGACCCCCTCCGGCCCCTGGCTGCGCCTAGAGATTCTGACCATAAATACAGTGAACAGAACCGGTGACAAAGGGCAGCCTTGGCGGAGGCCAACATGCACCGGGAACAGGTCTGACTTACTGCCGGCAATGCGAACACAGCTCTGGCTCCGGTCATACAGGGGCCGAACAGCCCTCAGCAGAGGACCCCGGACCCCGTACTCCCGGAAGACCCCCCAAAGGACACCCTGGGGAACACGGTCGAACGCCTTCTCCAAATCCACAAAGCACATGCGGACAGGTTGGGCGAACTCCCATGAACCCTCGAGTATCCGATGGAGAGTATAGAGCTGGTCCAGTGTTCCGCGACCGGGACAAAAACCACACTGCTCCTCCTGAATCCGAGATTCGACCATCGGACGTAGCCTCCTCTTCAGTACCTTGGAGTAGATCTTACCAGGGAGGCTGAGGAGTGTGATCCCACGATAATTGGAACACACCCTCCGGTCCCCCTTCTTGTAGAGAGGGACCACGACCCCGGTCGGCCACTCCATTGGCACTGCCCCCGATCGCCACGCGATGCTGCAGAGACGTGTCAGCCAAGACAGTCCTACAACATCCAGAGACTTTAGATACTCAGGACGGATCTCATCCACTCCCGGCGCCTTGCCACCATGGAGGCTGCCAACCACCTTGGTGACCTCGGCCAGGGAGATGGAAGTATCCGCCCCAACATCCTCAGCCTCTGCCTCCTGGACGGAGGACGTGACGGGGGGATTGAGGAGAACCTCGAAGTATTCCTTCCTCCGCCCGACAATATCCCCAGTCGAGGTCAGCAGCCCTCCACCCGCACCATACACGGTGTTGGCAAAGAACTGCTTCCCCCTCCTGAGGCGCCGGACGGTTTGCCAGAACCTCTTTGAGGCCGACCGATAGTCATGCTCCATGGACTCTCCGAACTCCTCCCAGTCCCGGGTTTTTGCCTCTGCAACAGCCCGGGCCGCGGCACGTTTGGCCTGCCGGTACTGGACAGCTGCCTCAGGAGTCCCACGAACCATCATTGCTCGATAGGACTCCTTCTTCAGCCTGATGGCATCCCTTACTGCCGGTGTCCACCACCGGGTTCGGGGATTGCCGCCGGGACCAGCACCAGAGACCTTGCGACCACAGCTACGAGCCGCCGCATTGGCGATAGAGGAAGAGAACATGGTCCACTCGGACTCGATGTCCCCCTCCTCTGCCGGGACCTGGGAGAAGCTCTCCCGGAGGTGCGAGTTGAAAGTCCGTCTGACAGGGGGCTCAGCAAGACGTTCCCAGCAAACCCTCACTACACGCTTGGGCCTGCCAGGTCTGACCAGCCTCCTGCCCTGCCAGCGGATCCAACTCACGACCAGGTGATGATCGGTTGACAGCTCCGCCCCTCTCTTCACCCGAGTGTCCGAGACACGCGGTCGAAGGTCAGATGATACGACTACAAAGTCAATCATCGACCTCCGGCCTAGGGTGTCCTGGTGCCACGTGCACTGATGGACACCCTTGTGCTCGAACATGGTGTTTGTGATGGACAGGCCGTGACTGGCACAGAAGTCCAACAACTGAACACCGCTCGGGTTCAGATCAGGGGGGCCGTTCTTCCCGATCACCCCTCTCCAAGTGTCACTGGCATTTCCCACATGGGCGTTGAAGTCCCCCAGGAGAATAACGGAGTCCCCGGGCGGTGCACTGTCCAGTACCCCTCCCAAGGACTCCAAGAAGGCCAGGTACTCTGCACTACCGTTAGGCCCGTAGGCCGTCACAACAGTGAGAGACTTGTCCCCCACCCGGAGGCGGAGGGACGCGACCCTCTCATTCACCGGGGAGAACTCCAACACGTGGCGGCTGAGATGGGGGGCAATGAGTATGGCCACCCCAGCTCGCCGCCTCTCCCCGCGGGTAACACCAGAAAAGTGGAGCGTCCAACCCCTCTCAAGGAGTTGGGTTCCAGAGCCCAAGCTGTGTGTGGAGGTGAGGCCGACTATCTCTAGTCGGTATCGCTCAACCTCCCCCACAAGCTCGGGCTCCTTCCCCCCCAGTGAGGTGACGTTCCACGTCCCAAGAGCCAGATGTTGGGTGTGTGGACTGGGTCGTCGAGGTCTCCGCCTTCGACTGCTGCCCAGTCCTCTCTGCACCTCGCCACCACGGACCCCTCTGCAGGTGGTGGGCCCACAGGAGGGACTGCCCACGTCATCCCTTCGGGCTGAGCCCGGCCGGGCCCCGTGGGCTAAGGCCCGGCCACCAGGTGCTCGCTTGCGAGCCCCGACCCCAGGCCTGGCTCCAGGGTGGGGCCCCGGCTGCGCCATGCCGGGCGACGTCACGGTTCTCATTGTCGTGCTGTCCATGGTTGGCTTCGGACTGCGCTTCGTCTGACTCGTCACTTGAGACCTGTCTGCCATGGGAGACCCTACCAGGGACATGAAGCCCCAGACAGCATAGCTCCCAGGATCATCCGAGTGCTCAAACTCCCCCACCACGTTAAGGTGGCAGTCCAAGGGGGGAGGGAATTAGGAAGTGAGAAAGAAAATTGTGTAATTGAAAACATTTCACTGTTTTTGAGTGTGTGCATTCACGGTTCAATGTCTATAGTAAAATGAATTATGTGGTTGTTTTCTTGATATAAAATAGATTTAAAACTAAGTATAACATGCCATATTGGCACAGACTCTCAGTGGGGGCTGCACTGATAATAAAGTTTAATGTCCACTAGGGTGCCATAATATACCTGCATTACTCAAGTGGAAGTAAAATCAGAAAAGACTTCCTACTTTCAGCAAAACGATGGAATTTTATAAAGGTATATCACATTACTTACGATTCCATGGAAAGAGAAAGTTAGAACCTTGCTACTGAACATTCTATATTTCCATATAGCCAAATATTAAAACCAAGTCAACAAAATTCTGTGTTTGCATTTTTTTATTTACTTTAATTCAATTTGTTGTCTGTTCTACCCTAGTGTTTGTAGAACGGGAAGTCTGGGCTGCCATTGTCTCTTGGCAACAGATAAAGCAGAAGAAAGGATTGGATGGAAGTAGTATTTCATTGTTCAATTGATTCAAACGTCACCATCCCAAAATATAATGGCTGGATCGGAAACGTTGGTTTTCTCTTTCATTCGCTATTCTTTTTGCCTTGAGAAAGCCTTTCTCAAGGCAAAAAGAATAGCCTGACCCTGAAAGAAGAACCACATTTCCCATCTCTCCATATATTTTAGTTTAGCTGATATTTAAGTCAATCCAATCTGACAAAGCTACCTAACAACTCCCTTCCTCTCTGCTTTGCCCCTGAGTGTCGCACCTCAACTCATTTAATAAAACAAGTCAAGTGTTTTATTAGTGATTTTTCGAGGTGATTACTCCCTTCAACACCTCCTCTTCTTGCTCTCCTTGTCCTGTTTTTTCTGTTGGGCTTCTTTGTCTTGGAGCTCCACTTGGAGCTTGGTGTTGCTGATGTTGAAGCTTTATCATCTGTGTCAGTTCTGCTTCAACTCTCATATTTTTAACCTCATCTAACAAATGTTGTCTGTCTGCTTTGTTTAGTTGTTGTTGCAGGTATGTCGTGTTGTCTTCCAATTCCATACAGACATTCTCCAGATTATAGTGTTTCTCCATTAAGTCTCCCACGTAAGCGTTGACCTCGTTTCTGATCGCTCCAGCTAGATCAGAAATAAATGAAGAATAGGAAGGCCCTCATGTTGAAGGCGACACTGTAGCCGGGATTTGAATCCAAGACCTTCTTGCTTCTCAGCAAGAAAGTCCTGGGTTTGAATTCCAGTTGAAACAGGGCTTTTCTGAGAGGAGTTTACATATTTTCCCTGTGTCTACTCCAGTTTCCTCCAGGTGTTCCGGTTTCCCCTACAATTCAAAATATGTACAATAAAGTGTGTTGTTGTGAGTGCGACTGTGGGACAACGGAGGGATGTGTTGTATATTGATCACTCCAGATTGTAGCCTTGGGCTAATTTCCATCCAAAATCTTCCAACATAAAAATGTTGGAAGATTTCGGCCTATATACCCTTGTGGAAATGTAGCACAACTGGCAAAATACGGCAGAATCTATGCTAATTTTGCCACTGACACTAACTTTAACAATCTTGAAGGGCAGTGTCAGGATCTGCTCCCTGCTGTCTCTCTCCCTCCCCTTCTGTGTTTGTCTTGTCTCCACCTTCCTAGGCGTGGCTACACACCTGGCTCCACTTGCCACTCATCTCCAGCTGCATAAGAAGCCTCATGCCCAGCAAGTCAATGCCAGTTTGTTGTCGCTTCTTGTTAGTGCAACATTTATGGTCTCTGCTCTACCAATTGTGATTGGTTTTTGTACTTACCTTGCTTCCTGTGCGTGGATCCAGTCTGTCTGTTCACCTGCCCCTGCCTGCCTGCCTGCCTGCCCCTGCCTGCCTGCCTGCCTGCCCCTGCCTGCCTGCCCCTGCCTGCCTCTGCCTGCCTGCCGCTGCCTGCCCCTGCCTGCCCCTGCCTGCCTCTGCCTGCCTGCCCCTGCCTCTGCCTGCCTGCCTCTGCCTGCCCCTGCCTGCCCCTGCCTGCCTCTGCCTGCCCCTGCCTGCCCCTGCCTGCCTCTGCCTGCCCCTGCCCCTGCCTCTGCCTGCCTGCCTCTGCCTGCCCCTGCCTGCCCCTGCCTGCCTCTGCCTGCCTCTGCCTGCCTGCCCCTGCCTGCCTGCCCCTGCCTGCCTCTGCCTGCCTGCCGCTGCCTGCCCCTGCCTGCCTCTGCCTGCCTGCCCCTGCCTCTGCCTGCCTGCCTCTGCCTGCCCCTGCCTGCCCCTGCCTGCCTCTGCCTGCCTGCCTCTGCCTGCCTGCCGCTGCCTGCCCCTGCCTGCCTCTGCCTGCCTGCCCCTGCCTCTGCCTGCCTGCCTCTGCCTGCCCCTGCCTGCCCCTGCCTGCCTCTGCCTGCCTGCCTCTGCCTGCCTGCCTCTGCCTGCTTGCCTGCCTCTGCCTCTGTCCACATCACGTGCTACATTGCCTATTCTCCATTGTGAATAAATCCTTCAATCGCCAATCTGTGTCTAGTTTTGGGTTCTGTTAAACCGTGATGTTGTTTCTAATGGAGTTTTGATGTTATTGGCATGAGGTAGAGAGGTTCTTAGTTGATAAAATAGTCCTCGTTTTTAGAGGCTAACGCACAGAGTAGTTGCTGAAAATGCTCTCACTAACACAGATTTTCTGCTTGGATAACCTAACTTATTCTTAATGTGGGAAAGTGGACTATTACAAAGACTTTTGACTGCATTTATTGTGTGCTTTGTGTGTGTTTTTAGGTTGTTTTTATGCATGCATTTTAAATCACCTTCCCTTGGACACTTCCCCGATTACCCACATCTGTTTTTAACCAAGACTATAAATTAGTAAAAAATGTATAACCAATTCTATAAAGGAAAAGGACGAAGGCCCGAGAGAACGAAGAAAGAGGAGGACACGGTACCGGGCCAAGGAGGCCAGCGGGGGCCAGCCACTCGCGGGGAGAGTGGCACCGGCGATGTGGGCGCCTTGACAGCGCAGGACGGCGCGTGCACGTGGGGCTTAAGGCCCTAGGAACATTGCAGCTGGGATGTACCCACCCTCCCCCGCGCGTGCCCAGTGGCGACCCGTGGACGGCGAGTGGCTGGTGAGACTGCGGCCCGGACAGAGAAGGACCAGTTGATGAGGACAGCGGGGACCAGTGGACTGTGGGCTTTTATCTTTTTAGAGGATCCCTTCTGTATATATTACCTTTTTATCCCCTTTTTCACCCCCTTTTTGCCTTTTATTTATCACACCCCCCTCAACAGACACTTATAGTCTAGTTACATTAGCTACACACAGTTAGAAATGCTACGAAATGTAATGCTGTTGTCACTAACTTCAAAATTGTGCAAGTGCTGCGAGGTATAAAATTTAAGGCCTTTCTCTCTTTTACTTTGAGGAGCGGGAGGAAAGCATTCAACAATCTGATGAACATCATCAATGGATGTATTTGGTAGATTCCCAAGACATCTAGAAAAATCCAACAGACCTGGAACCGAAACTCCCACCAAGTTTAAACACGTTGCAAATGTAACCAGAAACCAACTAAAATGGCATATGCTAACGTGTACGTAGTCTATCTCATTCCTTGCCAGTGGTGGCGTACCCGGAAACAGAAATATCCCTTAAATTCTGATGACGTCTTTTCATCCTCTCGAAAGTTTTTTGGACTAACCTAGTTTAGACGCTGTGGACATTTCAATGCACTCATTAATTTAATGGGGCTTGTGCCGGCTTACACATGCGGAAAATGCGTTTTTTCACATACTCCTGCGGGAGGGGCTGCCTGCGGCCATTTGGAATCTGCCTAAATGGCTGATGGATTTCAAAGGAGGAAATAGGTGTCACCACGTCCGTTAAAACTTACAGGCAATGGTCTGTCCCCTCCCAAAACAGGCTTTATGCTAGTTTTCTGTAATTCAAAAGATCGTATGCAACAACTTAATTATTAAATGTTTCTGAAACATTGTGGAGAGCACATAAATCCATGTTTATTACCAGAACATGCACATAGTCTTCCTCTGTTCCTCATGTGCCTCGTCTGGGTTCTTCTGAGGTTAATTGTGGCGGAATCAGATTCTCACAGAGACAGGACCTGAGGGTCAAACTCACATTCATAAAGACAGAAACATTTAATATACTGTTGCTGCCACTCTGTGGTACACAAGTTTATTCTTACTTTCTAGTATTGTCTGTCCTTAAGCACAGACCTGGTGTTCATGTGAGCCTTCAGTGTTTTTAGGAGTGAATGTTTAAATGCACACTATCTGCTGTATGTGTGATGTCTGCAAATCACTATTGTACCGATGATTTCATTGTAATGACCAAACTTTCTATCACTAGTTTTTGTATCATGTATTTTGGTCACATCTTTAGATCAGATTTTTCAGACAGAAAAATAAAAAAGAGACCAGAGAGAGAGACCGGAGACCACAGAGATTTCAGAGAGAGAGTGTCGAGTAGAGAGAACGACTAAAGAGAGAGACCAGGGAGAGACCAGGGAGAGACCAGAGATAGACCAGAGATAGACCAGAGAGAGAAAGAGACCGTGTGGGGACATGGCCCACCAATATTAGGTGAGGACCAAAATTGCACAACTGGTTAGATGCTAAACTGCATTTTGTTGCACTGTTCTAACTTTTTAATAACAATTAAGTTGAATCTAATCTTAACTAATCTAATAAATGCATTACTTACTTTCCCTGAGCGTCGTAAAATGTGAGTAATCAGAGAAAAGTATTGCAGCTCTATCAACCAGTCAACCAATTTACAGTACGTATGTTCTAATCTATCAGCCCACTGCGCTGGGAAGCTCAAGCTGCACACAGAGACTGGGCAAACCAGGCTCCAAAACCGGTTTAAAGGCTGGAAAAGTACGTACAGTGCTCCTTCTGTCAAAATGTAAAAGCTTCTCTGACTACAACCTCTGTGTTGCGTCACATTAGACTCTGTGCTGTATTGAATATTGTCACTGATGGGCTACGTTACGTCCATCCTGACTTTGATCAAAATGCTACATATTCTGTATAAATTGATATTGTGCATTTTGGTGACAAAAGTTGATTGCTGTTGTTTAGCATATGATGCATATGAAGCCCTGTAACACACTGAGGCTTTCAAACGTGCCGAAGCCTCTGAGGTCAGAGTAGAGTAGAGTAGCAATCCATGAAGTTTGTGCATGATACAACAAAGTCAGAAGCTCTGATCCAATCAATTGCGTTTTAACTATTAGTTAAAGAAAGAAATCTAAACAGTTACTACTAGCAACAACAAACTATTGCCAATAGTTTAAAACAGAAAAGCGAAAAAGGGAGGCCCATATTTACTCAGCCAATCAGCTCTCAGTCCAAAGACACCCTGTATATGAAATTGTTGAAACATTGGGATTGGGATATTATTTTGGGTTGATATGTACAATTCATGTACAAATACATGTATTTGTGTGTCGCCCTAAATCACAACGTCTCAGAGGACTTTACAAAGTTGTGAACTCACCAACAACAGATCAGAGAATCAAACAGTTAAAACACAGGAAATGCAATAATAACAAATACATTGATGTCATTGGTCCAGAGCAAGTGGGATGAACACTGACAAGAATTTTTGTTTGTTTTTTGTTTTTATTGTTAAGGTTAATAAATGTCCTGGATCCTGGACCGTCACTGTTCTTTGACCCTCCTGCATCAGAGAAAGACCCAGGACGTAGGCTGTAGATCAAGGACTGAGGCTGTAGACTTAGTCTTAGGGCCGGGGCTACGCGTACCCCAGCTTAAAATAGTACAATTTTAAGCATTTGAGATAAATGAAGATGGCTTTGATATATATACACCATAGACACCAATATTGAAAATCCCCAAGCTTTAAATGAACTGCTGATAATGAAATATTCTTATCTCAATTTAATTTCCTCACACAGAAATTAAATGTGAGACTTCTTCCAAGAACTGAATCAGTCTCACACTCGGTCACATGTGTCCGTCCCAGTGTTTGCTCCAGACTCGAAAGGACTGCTGACCTCCAGGCTCCACAGCCAGACAAAAAAACACGGACAAGATGCAAAGGGTGCTCACCTATATGAGACAATAATGAGACTATTGTGATATGTGCTGAGACCAAAGAGAGAGAGCAGAGAGAGAGCAGAGAATGACCAAAGAGAGACCAGAGAGAAGGGGATTGTTCCAGGAATGACAGAAATCAGCAACAAACTAGACAAGAATCGGACTTTTGACACTTACCACTCTGGTAGATGACTTTGCTACGTACATTATAGAGAGAGCAAAGAGAAAGACCAGAGCGAGAGAGAGACCAGAGAAAGAAAGACCAGTGAAAAGTGGATTGTTGCGGGAATGACATAGAAATTAGCAACAAACTAAGACAAGTCTGACTTTTGACAGTTACCTAAGCCCTATTTTCACCAGCCCTTCTTTACTCTACTCTGAATATGAAAAATCCTCCAGCTTTAAAAGAAATGAAGCTTAACCGTAAATGAAGCTCAAAGTCCTCCTGCTGTTGCCCACAACAACAGCAATCAGTCAATCACACTCTGCTGCTCAGCGCCACACGCAAATCCTTACCTGCAGCAATCAGGCTCAGCCCACATCAGCTTCATATCGCCCAGAAGCTCCACCTTAGCAGCAGCTTCATTCACGCCGCAACCCTCCTCCTCCCCATCTCTGCCTTGTTCTAGGCCAGCTCCTTCATCCTTCTCCTGGCTACCACCACCAGGATCTAGGCCCGGGGGATTTCATCTCATAATCTCTTTGCCCTTCTACAATCGTGCAGTGCTCTGCCGGGGTCTAAGTACAAAATCTTAGCCACAGTCTGTACAGCACAATCAATGTAATCTTTAAAATATTGTCCTCAGTGTCAGCCTGTGTAATTTATGTAGTGTCAGATTATTTGCCAGTCAACATACAATTCCAATACCATGTTTTGTCTGTTCGTGTCCACATTGAACCAGACTGAACTGACCGATGCACACATACTGTATGCTTATGCTCCAATAATGAAATATTCTCATCTGGACCTGTTTTAATTTCCTCACACAGAAACCTCAGTGAGACCTCTTCCAAGAACTGAATCAGTCTCACACACGTGCACATGCGTCTGTTCCCATTCCAGTCTTTGCTCCAGACTCGAGAGGACGGCTGACCCCCAGGCTCCACAATCAGGCACAAACAACTCGGACAAGATGCTAATGGTGCTGACTGCGGCTTTCTCCTCGTCCACGATCCGGAAGCTTCCTGTTTCCAGGACCTAACGATGGGCAGTTAGCTGTGCTCTGTTGCCCTAGGCCCCTGGGGCCTTCGGGAACACACACATTTGCTTTTATTTTCGTCACAATGATAATAATGAGACTCTAGAGTAATCTGGTTTCTTAAAAAGAACCGTGAGAAGAAGGGAATAAATCAGAGCAGTTAGCGAAAGTCTTTTTTGTAGAGTTTGATAGATGATTTGTGATTTATGGGAAAAACAAAGACATATATTATAGGAGTTTAGGACCAATAAAGTGATATCAACAAAGTAACTTAAACATGTGTTGATTGGTTGGTGTTAATTATGTTGACGAAATATTATTGTCATGAAGATGATGACTAAAATGATCAACATTTTAGTCCACAAAAAATTGACTGCTTCAGTCCTGCACCACACCGGTCCTCGTTCTCCAACCTGAGTCCTGCGCCGCGTGGCCATGGTTCTTGTCCTGTAGCTTAGGTCCTGGATCTACAGCCCGTCCGTCCGTCTGGATCAGATCTCTCTCTCAATGTGGATCTCCCCGAGGTTTCTCACTTTCTCCTACTTTAAAGTTTTTCCTTGCTGATGTAGGACGGTCTGTTACTCTGTTAGACTGTTAGTGGTCGAAAAAAAAGGACTGTGGTGATGATCCAGGACACTCAACAATCAACAACTATGGACAGCATTGGATGGTCAACTTTGAGTTAGAACTGTCCGGTTCTGTGATGGCGAGTCTGTAAGTCCTCTAACTACTGTTGGAGAGATATGGCTATACAAGTGTACATTGAACTGAATCGAATATAACCAACAATAAATGGTGCGTCTGAAACCCACTCCTACTTTTATTAAAAGGTAAATTTATTTGCTTAGACCAGGGGTGCTCAATACGTCGATCGCGATCTACCAGTCGATCGCAAAGGTAGTATTGGTAGATCGCATTAAATAAATGAAAAAATTACACATTCTAAACGAATATATACAAAAAACTCCGGGCAAAGTGGAGATTTTTGAAAACTCCGTTAATGCATTTGTGTGTAGACAGAGAAAACCGGAGTTTTGCGTTCTCGCACGCCACAGTACCCCCCTAAATTCCTCTGATCACTGAAGCATGGATCATACTACCTTAAAAACTGTTCACTGTGAGATGCTCGCAGCAGCGAACATCCTCGCTCCACATCAGAGAGCAGCAAAGTGATCGCGGGGACTCACGCTCGAAAACAACCAAACCAGGACTAAACCAGGACTAAACCAGGACTAAACCAGGACTAAACCAGGGCTGAGGACGGGGTCAGTGCTTGTAAACATACGTCTTACTCTTTACTCTGAGTGTCTTCTATGACTGTAAAAGTGCCGTTACCGGCGTCTGCATCAGAACTCCGCCCACTTCTGTGTTTTTCCCCAACGCAGGACAGGACGTAAGAGACGCACATGTTTGGAATGTTACGAATGTGATTGATAACGCAGATGTGTGGATGCAAATTATTTTATAAACTGAGGAGGGGAAATATTTGGATTTAAAAAAAATAGGCATGGCACATGGACATGGCACCACAGTCAAATGACATCTGTGTTTTACTCAGTAATGTTTTACTGACACTTAGGTGACTGCACATGCGCAAACAACCGCGCTCAGTGCAGGAAAGCTAAACCACAACAAACTTGTCAGCGAGTTACCACCAATTTTCCGGACTATGCATCCCTGGCCGATTCAATTCAGTGCAAGTCATAAGAGTAAACTCGGGTAATGACAAAAAATGTACATAGGTAATTGTGTTGTGTTGTGCTATATTGGCTCATGCGGTTTTGCATGTACATAAACATACATTGTGTAGGTATAAAGAATATTTTTTGAAATAAATATATGATTTGCATTTTTGTAGTAGGTAGATCATTTTGACTTGATCCTTTTATAAGTAGCTCGCATGCTGAAAAAGTGTGAGCACCCCTGGCTTAGACATTATTGTTTTATTGTGCCAAATGATATTATATAAAATAAGATTGTTCCGATTTACGTGTAGCATTCATGTGACAAGAACAATAAAGTAGCCTAAAGTAAAGTAAAGCAATGAAGCTACTCATGTCACGTTTGTCATTGTATGCAACAAGCAATAATACTCTACATCAGTGGTTCTCAAACTGGGGTACGCGTACCCCTAGGGGTCATGTCATGTTTTTCAATCTTTTCCTGTCCGTCTGTGTCTGTGTAACATATACATAAAACATATACATATATATATATATATATATACAACATATTGCAAGTATCATTCATGTGCTGCTGGAACTCTCACAATATCCTTCATTCGATTTCACGATTTTAACACTTTTCACAAATTCGATTTTTTCAAAAGCCGATGAATTGCCTAAATTCGATTTATTGCCCAGCCCTAGTCTTAGCACACAATAATCAGTGAGTCTTGAAAATCAGTGAAGTCATCAAAAATGGCTGGCAGTCAATGAGAACCTCTTTTTCAAGGGAGTCCTGTACAAAATTACAGATTATAAAACAGTCACATACAATTTCAGAAAATTACTGATTATAAAAACAGTTACATTTCAATGAGGATTTCTCAAGTGCTCTCAATCTGGATCTAAAAGCATTCAATGAAATACGATCAGATCCTTTCCAGTCTTTTTGCAACACGTTCCATGTAAAGGGAGCAGCAAATACAAAAGCTTCTTTAGGAATGAAACTTTTGCCTTGTTTTTGATTAATACTAAGGCTTACTACGCTACTGTGTGGTGTTGGTCATTTGTGGGGGTACTTGGAGAAGCAAGTATTTTCTGAGGGGGTACTTGATGTAAAAAGTTTGAGAACTACTGCTCTACATGTTTGTACTAAACTGTCTCTATACATCCAATTTTCATGAGCACCGTATTTTGACGACCAAAATTGTGACTAAACGTAAAATAAATTGTAATAAAAAGACAAAGACAAAAACAAAATTAGAATTTCTTATCAAATTTTATTTAATTTAACTGCTGTCCTGAATGTCCTGAAGTCCTCTCACATTAGTCCTGGTCTCAGGTTTCTGCACTGGCTCCTGTGGCTGAGAAAACAGACTTTAAAGCAGCTCTACTTGATACAAGTCTCTTCATGGCCTTGCACCAAAGTACATCTGTAACATGTTAGTGCCATATGAACCAACTTGGACTCTGAGGAGCACAGGGACTGGTCTCCTGCTGGTTCCAGAGTCAGGACTAAACATGGTGAGGCAGCATTTAAGATTTACGCAGCTAAAATCTGGAACGTTCTTCCTGAAAGTGTGAGACTGGCTTCTACACTGACCATGTTCAAATCCAGGTTAAAAAAAATTCTGTTTCGCTGCAACAACTGAAGGATGCACTGTGATAATTTATGATTTTTACGCCCTGTTTTGTTTAGCACTTTCAGTTGCCTTGTGTATGAAATGTGCTATACAAATAAACCTCATGGTCTCGCCTTGCCTACTCATCATATCACTGACAAAAATGCTTAGATTCTCCTCCCTCCAAATCTCTTTTCTGTGGCGCTTTTTATGGACTATTATTTGACGGTGGCGGTGTCCTTTTTTGGGCTCTGTGTCTGAATCAGCGCCAATCAGCGGCGCTCGGAGCCTTTCATCAGTTGCCATGGAGACGGCCTGGGTGAATAGGGGATAAGTGGAGAGACTGTGACACCTGCTCCAGCTGATCCGCAATCACCGTTCCGCTGCGACCAGAGTACACCCAGCACCGGAGAGATGCGGCTGAGGCTGAGGTAGCACGGGTTATGCAAGCGACTGCTGAGGGGGAAAGTGAGAGGGGTGAGGGTTGAGGGAGGACGAGTGAGGGCTGAAGGGGGAGAAGCAGGTTGTCCAAAAGTATGTACCCAGACAGGGTACATACTGGTCTCTCTCTCTGGTCTGGACCAAAAGAACATCGTTGAACTACACAGTTCTAGAGCTTCTGGAGTTTTATGGAATCAGGAGAATACAAGAGGATACAGCTAATTGCAGAGATCCCATAGAAAAGGACTGTTCAGTCTTCAGTCTGTCTTAGTGCTCTGGAAAACTGACGGTCCTGGTTTGATAATCTGTCATCTCCTCATTATAGTCTACAGTGTACAGGACAATTAAAGACATACTTGTTGTGTTATCTGGCTATATTGTCATCGCTAATGGAATATAATATTGTATGGATTTAAATCTGCTTATAAAATATATAATAAATGTGATCTTTTAATAAATAAATTAGACTTTCAGCTCGAAGTCTACATGTTATAATGACGTCAGAGGTCCAGAGTTGGACTGGTCAGACTTATTTGGGGTCAGGATGACGCAGACGGACAGTGACAAGAGAAAAAGTTCTGGCGGGTGTTTCCAGGCTGAGCGGCGGCAAATGGACCCAGCTGACCTCGCCTTGAGATCAGGGTCTAGTCAGAGTCTGGTCAGGGTCCAGTCAGGGCAGGACCAGGGAATAGGATGTCCTGCTTTGGTCTGGTCACCCGTCTTAGTCTCATTTTGATGGTTGCTATTCACCCGTTGTCCCATTGTCTGTTTCATGGTACGATGACGGGACCTCTGAGCCTGGCCTCCTCCATCTACACCTGCGGACTGCCCCGCCCGACCAGCCTGGGAGTGCTTCAGTCCTGCACCGGACCTGTCCACGTTCAGCGGCCACTGGTCCACGTTCTGTAGCTAGCTTAGGTCCTAGATCATTAGCCTGTCCGTCCGGAGGAGCGGATCCCTTTCTCATATGGGTCTCCCTCCCTGTGGGTTTCCCTAGTTCTCCTCCAAGGTTTCTCAATTTTTCCCACTGGGTTTTTTAAGAGTTTTTCCCTTGTCGATGCAGGAGGGTCTTGTTGGACAGTTAGTGTCCAACAGAAAGGATTGGTGGTGATCAGGACACTTTAGAATTCTACAACATGTATGGACATTTTCTTATTATATATTTTTCATGTGTTCTAACTGTTGATTCTCTGATCTGTGTTGGTGATTTCAATGGTTTGTTAAGTCCTCTGAGATGACTTCTGTTGTAACCTAGGGCTATGCAAAAATTGTATAA